TTGTTGTATTTATATACTTAATTATATATCTTATATATAAGTTAATTTTTATATAATGCATATATTATTGAATAGTTGAGTATTTAGTTCTATTTTAGATACAAGTGATTTTGCTCTTATATAGGTTTATTTTGTATTTACACCACTTACCCTATTGTACAACCATGAAAACACAATATATCAGTTTGTATTCTTTCAAAGCCAGGGCCCTCATAGTTATCCTACTAGCAATAAATACTATATTCGAGACTTCCTAAGCAGACTTCTGTTATTCGATTATCCCATATACACAATTGTTAGACTTATCATGGGTTTGCACCGCATTTAAACAGCTAGCATTTTTTTGTACAACTGTTATCATTGCACAAATGTCTCAAATCTTCTAGGACCCGATTACACTGATTCCTAGTATATCAACAGATTATAGATATTTTTTCCCAATATGGATGATAGTAACCGTAATACAAAATTAAATTCAAAAATCATCATCTATAGGATTTGAACTTTCAACCTGCTACTTGGCGAGGTGATGACTAAACTACTTTACTAAGCCACCACATTTTTAGTTACTTAAATTAGTAACTAGGTGAGCTAATATATATAATATACAGTCAACTCTCTCTAATCCAAACCTCTCTAATTTGAACACTATTAAATTCTTTATAATCTGAATTTAAAACTCTAAAATATTTGTAAATTTTATTATAAAATTCAGATTAGTATATAATACCTCTTTGAGAACCGAACATTATATAGTAACTCATTTTACATATAAATGGATAGTTCAGAATAGACAAAGTTGACTGTATATTAGATAGTTGTAACTATACTTATGATACAGTATTTGAAACCAAAAACATCTTAGCATAAATCTAATAAACAGTATTGGCAAGACTGTCAAATTAAAAAAAAAAAAAAGAATCAGATATTGTATAAAACAAAGTAAAAAAAAGTTAACAATTCATATTATATAAATAAAATACTTATACCTAGTAATAGCAAATTTCTATTTTATTTTTTATTAATATCTATATTGTATTTTTTAGAATAAGAATAGAAGGAATATAAAAAAATCAAGAAAATCTAATCATGAAGGTGTATTCATTTTGTTTTTTTGCTCAAGAAGTAGTAAGCTATATAATTTAAAATCTAGATTTACTACTGATGATGTAGTTTAATGCTATCTAAATTTTAGAAACAAAATAGTGTTTTATACTAAAAATGTATTTAATTTAAGTAACTAATATTTAAGAAATTGAAATTTATTGTTTTATTTTTTAAAGCAAAATAGACAAAAATATTTAATATTTATAATATTTTAAGGAATTGTATACTATCTATATAGTAATTTCAAAGATATCCTTTATTTTTGTATTCAATTTGGATTGCAAAACAGATTAGTAAAAGTAAAGAAAATTTAAATATTTTAGTAAAAAATTTATTCTGAATATTTAATTATTTTTTTTTGTTTATTTGAAATTTAACTTGTTTATATATTTAATTAATAGCAATTAAATATCAAGAAAAGGATTATTTTATTATAGGTGAATATAAAAATATACTTATTAATTTAATTAATCAATTAACAAAGTTACTAAAAAAAAAAACCAAGCAATATATTGGGTTTTGTATCTATTTTGTGCATATATCCCTGATTACAGAATATAAAACAGTAATTAGGAATAATACAGTAATTTTTTTTTATATTTTTTTTTTGTTTTGCTGTATACTGTTTGACTAATATATTTTTTTAGGTGTAGATAATTTCGTTGCTAGTGTTATTGATTCTAGTTTATTGTTGTTTTTTTTTTATTAGTGGCTCTTTTCTTTTTCTAGTTTCAAAGAAAACTCTATTATTTTTGTCATTGTTTGATAAACTATTACAAATATAAATTAGATCTTCAACTAATATGCTAAGGTATTCGAGTATTTTTGTATTGTAAAAAATTTATTAGCTATTTTTAATTTTTATAAAGGCTTCTGTAATCCTATGCTATATTATGCAGTTGTTTAATCTTGCAGAATTTTAACAAAAATAATTATTTATTAAGAAATTTTTATTTTTTAAATTTAGAATGAATCTGTTAATCAACTATCAAAAAATTGTTCTAATATCCATTCAGATTTTTACTCTAATACTTTCAATTCTGATAATGAAAATTATTTTCGTAGTTTATTTCCAAGTATTTTTTCTAAGCATCAGTATATATTACAATATTCTGTTGTTGTAGTTTTTTCTAAACATTAGTTGTTTATAACATTTAGTATATATATAGTAATTATATACTATAGTATTATAATAATAGTAATATTTGTAATTTGTAATTTGCAATATTAATATATAAAATATAAATTTGGTGATATAAATCTAGTTGTACAACTTAATTTTATCAATTTACATTGTTTATTGTTATTTTGTGATTAAACATTTAATATATATATCCTGTTGTACATTTCTATTTTATATATTGCAATGTTTAACAAAGCCCCTATTGTTCATTGCTTTTTTAGATTAATCAATTATAGAGTTAATTATCCTGTTTATTATTTTTTTTAAAAACTTTCTAATATATTTAATCGTTGAATTTAAATTTACAAGATCTACAAATTATAGGATTTGAAGTAGATTTGTGAATCAAATCCAAATCTCAAATTTATTTTGTAGAATGCTAGTTTGGATTGGTTTTTTAAACCAATACTAGATTATGATAGCCCTAATCATTATATATTACAAATAAAACATATTGATACTAATTTTTATATATTTGATTTTTAATAGTTATATAAATAGTTTTAACATTTACATATCCCAAAAATTTAAAGATTAATCAAGTATAGAACCAGATTCAACTATTGGATTTAAATTAATTCAGATTAAACAAAACTATTGGATTATTTGATATATACTATATCATTATATAGTATTTGTTAACAATATGCAAGAGGTTAATTTATTGTTTTAATTGATGAATATTTAAAAAAAGTAATTGGTTGAAAGCTAAAAGCTATGATTTTTAATATATATGTTGTAGGTGGATTCAGAATTCTGTGGATTCGGAATCCACTTGAGTGGATTCCAAATCAACTTAAGTGGATTTTGAATCCCAAAACAACTTAAGTAGAAATAGAATTAAAAATTTTAAGCAATACAAATTTCGGCAATAAAGAAATATGTAATTTTTATAGCGAAAAACATTGCAATATCATTATATTATCTATTTTCTATTACATTAATAAAGAACAAGCTATCTAAAAAAATTTTAACATTGTTAATTGTTATTGAAATCTATAAGTTTAAAAAAAATTATATTTATGTTACTTACTAGCATGTTTTAAAACACCTTGTATAATATATCATAAAGACGATTAAAAGGGCATATAGTACGTATTAACTCGAACACATTTTTATTTTTGTCAACAGTAATGATTTGAGTAATTGGATTCGCTTCAGTTCCTAACTCTTTTAACTAAAAAGAATAGTTAATTCAAAACCGATCTTTTGGAGTTTCCAAATTTGTATTGGCAGGGTCATATAGTACTGCAATAATAAGATCGTAATCAGATTGTGAAATAAGAGTTTTACAACATTTAGCAAGCGATTTTTTTTCAAGAAATTTATTAACTAGTTCATTAAAAGCTTGTCTTGAAACAAAAAAATGCTCTTGGGTTGACATTTTAATTGTAAACTTTCATGAAATACAGTACAAGTATTTTTAAATAGTATAGTTTATGATTACTAATATTCGATTATTTAATTGATATTTTAATTGATATTTAAGATCTGAAATCAACTTAAGTTGTTTCTGGATTCGAAATCTACTTAAGTGGATTCTGAATTTACAGAATTCCGAATCCACCTACAACATATATATTAACAAGACCTCAGATATCTCTGATATAAATTATATTTTTTTTTAGCAAATTGTAGAAAATTTAGTTAAAGGTCCAAATTTAAATTTAGCAAATTAATATTAATTTTAAAATAGGTCATAAAGAAATATTTACTTTTAATTAAATATATATTTTTATCCATGAATATTTACAGATCCAACCTCTAATAAAAACTAATTTATTAAGTAATTGTCTATATAATACTAATCTTTAATGATTTTGAAATTCTGTAATTAGATTTTAATGATTTTAGACTTGTTAGAATCATCTTACTAAGCCAAGAATTTTGGTAGTTAAATCATTCAAAATGAACCAATATATCAAAAGGTATTTGATATTAAATATAATTATATAGTAACTCTAAAAATTAATAGTAAAATTATACAAAATCTTAATTATCTGAGATCTTGTGATTAGATTTTGATAATTTTGAATTTATTAGAACTGTTTTTCAAAACTAACATTTTGGTAATAAAATTATTCAAAATAGATTAGTATATTAAAAAGAATAAATATATAGATTGCACTCCGCGATACATTTAGATATCACCTGACCAATAGAATATATATTACATGATCAGGTAGTGTACTATTTAATTTTTGTAGCTTGTTCTTTTGAAGTTGTCGCTTTGTTGGAAGTTATTATATCTTTTAGAGTATTGTCTTTCCTTGGTGTCTTTCATCACTTTGGAGTCGTCATTCTTGGAATCTCTTTAGAACCGCCATTGTTGAAATCGTTGTTGGAGTTGGTACTTTTGGAATCGTCATTTTTGGTATCTTTTTTTAAGCTTTGTTCTTTTTTGTTTCTTACTAACTTTCGTTTGTAGTTCTTTTGAGTCGTCATAATTTCGGTGTACTGTCTTTCCTAGTACTTCTTTGTCGTCTTTTTGTCTTTGTAGTCATCATAGCTTTTGGTATTTTGTCATTCTTTTAGAATTTTTGTTGTTGAAATAGTCATTGGAGTCATCACTTTTGAAGTCATCATTGGAGTCGTCGTTTTTGGTATCTTTTTTTAGACTTTGTTCTTTTACAAACTTTTATTTTGTCTTTTGTAGCTTTTTTGAGTTGTCATGATTTTGTTCTTTGGAGTCATTATAGCTTTCAGTGTTTTATTGCTCTTTTGGATTAATGTTGTTGAAATCATCATCAGAGTCATTGCTAAAGTCATTGTATTTGGTATTTAATAGTGTTTTTTTTTGAATTTTCATTTGGTTCTGTTGCTCTTTTGAGGTGTGTTTTTTGTTTGTATCAGTTACTTTAGAGTCATCAGTTTTTTTCTGTTCTTAAACGTTGAGGTTAGAGTTTTAGAAATTAGAATAAGATTTATAAGTGTATTAGAGTTAGAGTTTAGAATATTTCAATCTAGTAGTTAGATGTTTTTATTTCAAAATGTTCATTATTATAGCTATTCCCATAAATTTTGAAACATCTGGTATGTAATTGATGTATCTGATCCAATAAGTTCCTAACTCAACACTGATTGGGCGTAATAAGTATATATAACAGGTTTAATATATAGTGATAATATGCTGAACGATACTAAATGTCAATACATTCAAAATTAAGGTTTTGCCTAAATTCAGCTACCCGATACGAAAGTATCGGAGCAGCATTTTGTCTTGAATTGATCAGAGTATATAGTATTGTGATTTATCGTATAATTCATATATGATTTTATGACGTATTGATGTAGTATTTGCGATTAGTAACTGTTAGTAATATTTAGAGAAAGTACAGTATCTTCTGATTTTCTGCTAATCTGACTTTTGTTTTTTTACCCCACCCTATACGGCCCTCATACGTACGTATATACGCGATCATATAGTGATATATAAGTGTATCACACCCAGATGCGAAATAAAAGTGCTACGCAGGGGTGTGATATTTAGATTAATCCTATTAAAAATTATTAGCAATTTTATAAATTAATTCATATATATGGTTGAGTTTTAATAAAGAGCATTATTTTATAATAATCTGTTGCCATAGTGACCTATAATCGACCAATAAAATCAATTACATGAGTTATGTGTTTGATTGAACAAAACATGCAATTTTATTGGTTGATTATATTACTTAATAAAATATTACAAAAATAATATTTTTATTAAAAAAAAAAAAACTAAAAAAACTAAAAAAACCACAAAATACTACACAAATACTATACAAATATTATACAAACACTATAGAAACACCACCTATAACAACCACTATAAAAACACCACACAACTGCTATAGAGAGCACACAACCACTATATGCACTACACAATCATTATAAAACACTACACAATCACTATAGAGACATTACACAATACACAATTACTGTAAAAACATAAAAATTGCAAAAGACCTATTAAATAAACTCAACCAAATAATGATAAGCTAATAAAAAACCCCAAAGAAGAAATGATGAAAAACTCATCAGAAGAAAAAAAAAAATCTACTGAATTACCAAAATGACAATGACTTTTAAAACTCTAATTATTGATTTAATTAGAACTTTAACAACAACTCTAATGACGACTTCAATGATGAATCTGGCAAACAATTCCAATAATAAAACTATATTTAAAGAAAAAAAATAAAAAAAACTATTTTAATAAAAAAAAATACACAAAAAAAAAAACTAAAAAAAACAACCAAATTACCAAAACGACAATAACTTTTAAAACTCCAACTATTGCTTTAACTATAATTTCAACAAGCTCCAACAACGAATGACTCCAATAACAAATCTGGCAAATAATTTCAACAATAAAACTTAAAGAAAAAAACCAAAAAAAAACTATTTAAATAAAAATAAAAAAAAATACGCAAAAAAAAAACCAAAAAAAAACAACCAAATTACCAAAATGACAATGATTTCCAAAACTTTAACTACTGCTTTAACTATGACTTCAACAAGCTCCAACAATGAATGATTCCAATGATGAATGACTCCAATGATGAATTTGGTGAACGATTCCAACAATAAAATTTAAAGAAACAAAAAAAAAATTATTTAAATAAAAAAAAAAAAATACGCAAAAAAAAAAACCAAAAAATAACCGAATAACAAAATGATAGTAACTTTTAAAACTTCAACTACTGTTTTAACTATGACTTCAACAAGCTCTAATGACAAACAACTCCAATGATGAATCTGGCAAATGATTTCAACAATAAAACTTAAAGAAAAGAAACAAAAAAAATATTTAAATAAAAAAAAATATACAAAAAAAAACCAAAAAAAAACAACTGAATCACCAAAATGATGATAACTTCTAAGACCCAACGATAAATGACTTCAATGCCAAATCTGGCAAACAATTCCAACAATAAAATTTAAAAAACAAAAAAAAAACAAAAAAAACAACCAAATCACCAAAATGATAATAAGTTTTAAGACTTCAACTATTGCTTTAACTATAACTTCAACAAGCTCCAACAACGAATGACTCCAATGATAAATCTGGCAAACGATTTCAACAACGAAACTTAAAGAAAAGAAACAAAAAAAAAACTATTTAAATAAAAAAAAAAACTTGCAAAAAAAAACCAAAAAAAAACAACTGAATTACCAAAATGACAATGATTTTTAAAACTCCAACAAGCTTCAATGACGAACAACTTCAATGACAAATCTGGTAAATGATTCCAACAATAAAACTTAAAGAATCAAAAAAAATATACAAAAAAAAACCAAAAAAAACAACTGAATCACCAAAATGATAACTTTTAAAACTTCAACTACTGTTTTAATAATAAAGCTCTAACAATAAACAACTCTAATGACAAATCTGGTAAACAATTCCAACAACAAAACTTAAAGAAAAAAAACAAAAAAAAACTATTTAAATAAAAAAAAAATACACAAAAAAAAAAAAAAAAACAAAAAAAAACAACCAAATTACTAAAACAACAATAACTTTTAAGACTCCAACTACTGCTTTAACTATGACTCTAACAAGCTTCAATAACGAATAACTCCAATAATAAATCTGACAAATGATTTTAACAATGAAACTTAAAGAAACAAAAAAAAAACTATTTAAATAAAAAAAAAACACACAAAAAAAATTAAAAAAAACAACCAAATTACCAAAACAACAATAACTTTTAAGACTTCAACTACTACTTTAACTATGACTCCAACAACAGCTTTAACAACGACTTCAATGATAAATCTGGCAAATGATTCTAATAACAAAACTATATTTAAAGAAAAGAACCAAAAAAAAAACTATTTAATTGGAAGTTCATAAGTAAGCCAGAGAGTATCATAATAAAATATGACTCAGATTACTATATAAATTTACTATAGTGTAAATGTGGCCTGCACAAATCTAAAACTTTTTTTTATACTAAGTTAATCACTCTTCTAACTTAAAAGACTTTGTAAAGCTTGTCAAAACGCATCTAATGGTAGTTAGAATATCAAAATCGGCCTGGTGGGTGCTAAGATATCTTTAAAAAACTAGGGCTATTATCTAGGTCGAAAAATAGCGACCTGGATCAAACTTGGGTAATGAAATGTTGACCTGGATCATGACCCGAGTCAGCCAAAACAGTTCGAATCTAAAATATAAATCACAGCTAATGCTAAAATTTGAGGCCTCAATTTAAAAACATAACTCTATTAAAACTTATCTATACTCTTTAAATATCAAATTTTTAATCCTAAAAAAGTTGGAAAAAAAATGTCCAAAAATTTTAAACCTTATATAGAAATAAATCCAATATATGAGTGCTGCCAAGAGAAAAAAGCCATTCAGACTTTTAATTATATTTTGTATACAGTTAACTTTCTATGAAAAATATATTATCATGATAAATTTTCCATAAATGGCTAACTATATAAAATTTTTTTTGTCCCTTATATGAAAACTGAACTAAGAAATTGTTGATTTGAGAATTAAATAATTTCTAATTGATTATCAAATTAATTATATATAATGATAAACTTGAATCTTTTAACTCCCGGATTGACACTTTCCTAAACTAAAAAATTGTCGATTTATAATTCTTTGATTGATTATCAAATTAAATTAATTTTTATATAACAATAAACTTCAATTATTTGATTAGTCGGAAAATCTTTTAACTCCCAAATTGACATTTTCCTAAACTAGTTCTCATATGGGGTTTTTGCCTTGAAAATCGAGTTACGGAATATAATAAATTATATGTCCCATATCTGATTTTCAAGGCAAAGACCCCATATGGGACCCCCACAGCAAAAAGAGAAGATGAGCAAAAAATTTTAAAAATTTGTTTTTATGATAATTTTATTCTAATCAATCTAATTCTTCGAGATATTAAATTTTTTTAAAAAAAAATTTTTTGGCTGATCCTTTTGTTTTGCTGTAGGGAGTCCCATATACAGTCAAACCTCCATAAATACAATATCTCTCTAAATATACGTTTCTGGCCTGGCTATAAGAAATCATTAGTGCTAAATGCACGTTCTATATTCTGCAAATACATGTTTACTTAAAAGATTTTCTATATTATACTAATCTCTCTAAATGCATGTAGCCAATCAGAATTCAGTATTCAAGTTGTATTACATGAGCCTGCAGATCAAACATTAAAAGCTGCAATTTGATTGGCTTTATCTAAATGCAAACCTTTCTAAATGCATAATTAAGGCTAGTCTGTACATGTTGCATTTATAGAGGTTTGACTGTATTATGTATAAATTCGTAATTCTGTAAAATCAAACCACTTAATAGATTTTGAATCTTAAAATGATTTCATTGTATTGTTATACCCCCTAAATGCACACCCCCTAAATGCAAGCCTTCTCTAAATGCATATTATGACCTGGTTCCAAGTTTGGGACTTAAGAATTTTCTATATTCTGCATGTGCATAAAATTTTAGAGTTCCAAATATATATATATATTTCTATAAATGCATATATATAACTTTGACAGTAAATAACTTTTGATCCACTGGCCCGTTTTGGATAAAACACCTACCAAAATGTTCGTCTTAGTGAGACGATTCTAATGAGCTCAAAATCACTAAAATCCAATTACAGGACCCCGAGATTATTAAGGTTTTGTGTTACTTTATATATATTTTAAAATTGATTTATTTACATACAAAGTAATACAAAACCTTAACAATCTTGGAATCCTGTGATTGGATTTTAGCGAATTTGAGCTTGTTGAAATCGTCTCATCGAGGCGAACATTTTGGTGGGTGTTTTTATTCAAAATGGACCAGTAGATCAAAAGTTATTCACTTCTAAAGATTATGAAATATGTATATTTATATTCTCTAAATGCAAACCTATATCTAATTTTCTAATACATGTATTTAGAGAAGTTTTCTATAAATGCATACCCCCTCTAAATACAAATTTATGTCTGGTTCCCAGAGCATGCACTTAGAGAGGTGTAACTGTAATGTTAAACATCGCTTTCAAATAACTATCAGTTAAAAATTAACGTATATACATTCGTACGTACGTAAGTTTAAAGTTTATTCGATTAAAATATAACATATGTCGAACCTAATGCAATTTTTTAAATAAAAATTGTTTATATATATATATATTTCTATATAACATGATTTCTTTTATTTCAAACTTTGAACTAACTATTATATGAATAACTAAGAAAATGAAATATATAGTGGATTGTTCAATACAAATAAATAATATATAACTATAAGCTTATTTATAAAATAGTTTACTGTAAAAAAATAACTTAAATATAATCTCCATTTCTGGTTTGTATGACAATGTTGCGCAGCTACCTTATTTATTAATTTGGGCTCTGACTCATTTGATCCGGATTAGATCAAAATTTAACCTGTAATCTGTCAGGTCGGGTAACCTGTACGAGTCACCCAACCTAAATAAAAGCCTTATAAAAAACCTTTCTTTTACTATATAAATTTCTTTGCAAACAATACTATTATTTGCAAAGAAAATGAGTTGAAATCTTGTAGCCTAGTAGTCTAGGCACCCAACTCTCCACGAGCGGGTTTCGGGTTCAAGTCCTAGTAGGTATGTTTATCTATGAATATTTGGAAGTATCTGCTATGAAAAGTCCAAGTAAATACAAGTCTGGATTAGAAATTTCTGGAAGGAGGTCCATTGTGAAGTAGTTGACACTACATGTAACAGTGGTTGTTACAGAAGGTTCTATTACACAAAGGTTGTGTGTGTAAATCTGTGATTGACAAGGTAGCACTAACAACCCCTAAGGTGGCATTGGAGATCTTGTTTGGGAGGATAATCGGGCAGTAACCAAAATTGGAAAGTGGTGAGAAATGTGGTGAACACAAAGAGACCTGTGGTAAAGAATTGGCCTTACCAGATTTGAAACACCTCTGG